TTTACCTTTTTCCCTTCACTCAATTCCAATGCTCGGGTTAAGGCAATTAATTCTGCCCTCTGGGCAGATGTATTTGGTGGTAGTGCCTTTGCTTCTACTACTGTACTGACTGTTGTTACCGCATATCCAGCGTATCGGGTTCCATCTTCCATGAAGCTGCTTTCATCTGTGAATAACTCCCATTCCGATTGCTCCATCGGGACGTCTTTCAGATCTTCTCTCGCTGCGTAGGTGTAATTTATCACTTCCACACAATCATGCTCTAGTGGGCCTTCTTCGGTTGTGGTGCCTAGAAATGAAGCTGGATTCAAAAGGTTAGTTGTTTTTAGTGTGACATCATCCTGCTCGGTCAGGATCACCTGGAATTTTACCATCCTGCTTGGGGATAGCCAATGGCCTCCCTTTTGCTCTAAAACAGTGGTTACCATATGTGGCACATAGACATCTATGTTTCTTCCCATCGTGAGCTTCCTGTCTTCTTGTATCAATATTACAGTGGCTGCAACTGCCCGCAGACTCAGACACGCAGGCCACCCGGCACTTACATTATCCAGCTGTTTGGAGAAATAGCCTACTGACCTTTTCCAGCTTCCCAGATGTTGGGTTAGGACTCCCAGTGCCAGGCACTGCCTTTCATGTACAAACAATTGAAAGTCTTTAGACAAATCAGGTAATCCTAACGCTGGTGCAGTCATCAGTGCTTCCTTCAGTTTTAGGAAGGCTTCTTTCTGTGCCTTGCCCCAGCCAAACGGCTGCATCTTCTGAGCTTCATACATGGGTTTGGCAATTAGCCCAAAGTCCATGATCCACAGGTGGCACCATCCTGCCCTTCCAAGGAAGACTCACAGCTCATGGAGATTCTGGGGCTCTGGAATAGCACAAATAGCTTGGATAAAATTTTCTTTGCCCTTGGGAAATTTCACATCCCAGATAAATTACCGTCTGCTGGGCAATTTGTTCTTTTTCCTTGGACACTTTATATCCTCCCATGCCCAGTGAATTTAAAATTTCAATTGTTACCTTTATACAAGTTGTTTTTTCTTCTGTTGCTATCAGAATGTCATCCACATACTGCAACAGGAGATACTGATCTCTCGGTACCTGCCCTTCTTTGGTCCAAATCTCCAGCTCCTTCACCAGCTGGTTCCCAGATAAGGTGGGGGAGTTCTTGTACCCCATGGGAAGCTGAGTCCATGTGAGTTGGGTCCTTCTTCCGTTCTCTGGATTTTCCCATTCAAAGGCAAACAGTTTCCTACTTTCTTTGTCAAGAGGTATGCAGAAAAAGGCATCTTTTAAATGAATTACGGTAAACCACTTATAAATCTCTTTTACGGATGTTAACAATGTGTAGGGGTTCGCAACTACTGGATAAATATCTTTGGTTATTTCATTTATTGCTCTTAGATCCTGTACTAGCCTGTAATCCCCATTAGGTTTCTTTACCGGGAATATTGGTGTATTATATTCTGATTCACATTATTCTAAGATTTGATATTTTGGGAATTTATCAATAGTTTTTGCTATCCCTTGCCGTGCCTCTGGTTTTATAGGATACTGCCTAATCTGTACAGGTTTTGCTCCTTCTTTTAATTCTACATGTACTGGTTGTGCTAATTTAGATTTTCCAGGAATGTCCGTTTCCCACACTGAGGGAATTA